AGTATGCATATTCTCCATACTGTTCTCAATACATTTCGTTATGTGCTGGCAGGGGGAATTTGTTTAACAATCAAGAGGTTCTTTAGTTTATGATTATTGCCTTTATTCTCATAACCTTAATGTTTGATTCGGGGGTGATATTGAAAGGGGAAATTAGATGCTAGTCACTATCAGGAATTAAAGTGTTAAAGGCAGTAGGTTATTAAAAAAATTATAACTTTGATTCAAGCAGCTATTTGAATATGTGAGTAACATTTGATGTTTTCACATGTAACAGGATGACCAAGCTGACGATGACCTCAAAAAGGAGTGAACTCAACTGTAACAAATAGGTCACTCCTTTTTAAACTTGAGCACTTGGTAAATACACCTTGGCTTGCAATTCTGATGACTACAGTTTGCTGAGGTAATTTAAATGTCAGTCCCCAAGCAGGAACCAGCCACATGACCTGTACAGACATAAGCTATGAGATAAATTTTGAAAAATGCATTTGTGTCAGTGGAACTATAGTAAGTACAGTACCACCTGGTGACAAAAATTAATAATTTCGTGTTAGTTTGAATGATTGGGGGAAGTTGTAGTGGTAAATGACCCTTTTTTGTTAAAATGCATAGGATTTGATGATTATAATGTATATCTCTTAGCTTTTAAACTTTCAACTTTGTATTAATTGTAACTGTTTACCATATTTATTTCTTTCTACCTCAAGCCCTCAAAAGTTGAAGCAAGTTATCTGACTCTCTTTGTTTGGAATTGTGTGATTATATAATTTTGTTGTGTAAGTTGCCACATTGTAACATGTAATATTTTTATTTGAATTTCATTAAATACTCTTGCTCAAGCTTTCATTAATGCATGGTGTTTCTTACCAATACTCATACCCAAACTTAACATCGATATAAGGAATTGGTCACAAGATATGCGAGTTTTAAAGGGTGAGAAACTTGAAAAGCAAAGATTCCCCTTCAATAAGGACTGAAATTAAAGTGGGCTCTGCTATTTAATTCATGTTTTTACTTTGACCAGCATGAAAGTTAAATTAATTAGCATCTGCATAATGCACAAAGCAAAAATATAAATGACTTAGCTTAATAGGTTATAAAATTGAAATAAGAAAGTTGTGCAGACCATATCTTGCCTTTTATCTTTCTCTGGATATTTACTCAAATAACATAGACACTATCAGTCTCTCACACTCACTTTCCATCGAGCTTGTGGAAAGATGATAGCCTCAGTATTCCCTGCCTGCCTAGCCTCAGTAGGCCCTGTAGAGCGCATGCATGCTGTTTAAGGGAGGTGTGTACAGGGAAGATTTAAACTGAAAGAACCATCAGCAACAGTCGAAAGCTGATGATGACTGTATCCCCTGGAAACAGAGCAAAGGAAATCAGCAGTCTAGACTCAGGCAGCAACAAGTTAGCGATTGAGAGAGCCCTGGATGTACAATGGTGTATTGAATCAGATACATTTAAACTCAGAACTGAGTTAAAGGACAAACCATGCGCCCGTAGAGGTATACTGACAACCATAAACTCGATCTTTGACCCACTAGAGCTCACTGCACCTGTCGTCCTTGTTGGGAGGCAGAAACATAAAGAGATCTGTGTCAGGAAAAGCTGGGATGAGCCAATCAATGGAGAAGTTCTTGCTAAAAAGGAAAGGTGGAGAAATCAGTTACTGTTATTTGAGCAGCTGGGCATCCCAAGGCACTTCAAGCCTCCTGATTTTGGAAGAATTGCCACTGTGCAGCCACATGAAAAGTCAGATGCATCGCAAAGGGGATACGGACAATGCTCTTATCTCAGGTTGATTGATGAAAATGGTAGAAGTCATTGTTCCCTCGTAAAGGCTAAGGCACGTGTAGCACCACTGAAAATAGTAACTATTCCAAGACTTAAACTGACTGCAGCAACTGTTTCAGTAAGAGCTGCAACGATGCTGAAGGAAGAGTTAGATTATGAGGAACTTCATGAATTCTATTGCGTAGATAGTAAGGTCATGCTTGGATTCATCAGAAATGAGTCTCCGAGGTTCCAGGTGTAG